TTTTTTTTTTTTTTACATTTTTGCCAGAGGGTGTATGTGTGCACTCACCAGAGAGGGAGAGAAAGAGAGGAAGGAAAAGTGAGAAAGCACCTTCCATGAGGTGTGGTCATGCCGCAGTCCCTTCTCCATTCTCGGGATTTGGCGTATGCATGCACATGCAGCCAGTGTATTTTTCAAGCAGCCATGTCCAGGACTGGAACCATACAGTTGGCCATGTGGGATCCAACCACCTTAGCCACCATGCCCCCAGCTGGCCCTGGACTATTTACTGTTTCTCTGAGCCATGGTTTCTCAGGTAAAAGAAGATAATACTACTCACTTTTACATGAAGAAATGTCTATAAAAACACTTAGAAAGTAATATATCCACTTGAGGTAAGATGGCAGCTGTAGTGGGCAAGAAGGTTGTTTTATCTAAGACTGTGTCCGTTTTAAAACTGAGAGTTCCATGTCCCAGCCGCCCTGCAGCCCTGGACAAGCCAGGGCAGTTGGTTACACTGCAAATGTAAAGATGTGGACTTGATCTAAGTAGTACTGTGAGCTTCTCACCAGACTGGCTACATGCAGTCCCGAGTTGCTGTGGCTAGGTGGCACTGTTGCTAATGTGAAACCGTGTTTTATCTGCACAGGTGGGGATGCATTCCAAAGGAACTCAGACAGCAAAGGAAGAGATGGAAATGGATCCAAAGCCTGACCTAGATTCAGATTCCTGGTGCCTCCTGGGAACAGACTCCTGTCGACCCAGCCTCTAGCCTCTGAGCCAATTGAGCCCCCAGGAAACTGGGATCCCGAGAACTTCACAGCACACTTACTGAATGCAGAGAGCAGCTTTCCTGGCTTTGTTCACTTGCAGACAAGGAGCACAAGGCAGAGGCTCTGAAGCACTTTCCTTGTACGTGTGGAGAGTGGCCTTGCCTTTTAGATAGGACCTAGGAGTGATATTATTGTTTTGGAGAATGGAAGGGCCCAGGGCCTGGCTTTGTCATCAGTTACTGCCATAGCAATGGCAACTCTGTACCTCATCTGTTGATCCCACCTTGCAGGAGGAGACCCCCGAGTGCTCACTACATTGCGCCGGTAGCAGCTTATATTCCACTTATGATTTTCACCATTAGTTGGAAGCTGCCTTGGAAATTCAACACCACACCTTGCACCTCTGGGTGGGAAAAGGAAAGGTGTAAAGTTGGCATGGGCTGGAACCAGGCGTGGCCCACTCAGGGTCCTCGGGAGAGTGGTGAACTATTTTGAGCCCTCTCAGGAGCCGTACGTCTAGAAAAATATGTCTGGTGGAGTCAGTCTAGGGCTTGTTTTCAGAAAGTTCGGTTACTTTGTGCAGCTAAATGCCTCAGGAGGAAAAGTGGGCTTAGATTACTTTTCCTCTAAGAGTCAGTGAGTAGCAGAGAAAGGGCAGGTTCCTCCTCATCGCGTAGCTGGAGTTCTAGGTTGCAGCCAATGCAGGGTGAGATTTCCTGGTTTGAGACGACACCTCTGAGGGATGAAGTAGTCTTAAAGACTGAGACAGGCCATGGGAATGGCCTTAAGAGAAAGTCATGAGGGGGAGCAGATCCTCATTTCACCTCCTCTACTGGGTGCCTCAGAGAGGCCTTAGAACGACCCCAAGTCTTGGCACCCATAAGAAGGCAGCCTGTGCCTCTGCCTTCACGGCGTTTGGGGTTCCATTTGTAGATCAGCCCCAGCCACTCCCTTACTATATGTGTAGTCAGTATTTCCCCCTTTTGGTGTTTTATGAAGCTATATAATAACCAGTGAACCTGTATCATCTTTCCCACTTGAGTGGCCCTAAGCCGGCCCCAAGTCCTGGAGTACCTGAAGCCCATCCCAGCAGGTCGGACCTGCCGAGTGGAAGGAGTTCAGTGCAGAGCTCGTTCCCGGTCCTGTACTCATTGCATCCTTATAGACAGGAGCAAGCTACTTGGGGACACAGGGACTGTTGTGACGGGTCTCCCTTCCTTCCTAAGTCAACATCGTTTCATTTTCCCTAC